GCTTTAGTTTTCCCCCATTTATGTGACCTGGGACAAGTTACCAGATCATCTGGCAGCTCAATATGCTCACCGCAAACTTAGAGTACTATTTATTTCACAGAAAGGTTGTCAAGCCTAAGAGATAAATCATAGGAACTGCAAATTTCAGAGATGATTGATATTAAGTATGTAAAAATGCTTAACAATTAAAAAGTACCATACAAATATGTGCTATCATTTTCATTATTACTATTTTCATTCTAGTTAGTTGTATATACCTCCTCAAATATATAAAGCTCTTCAGAAGAAAAATGACCTGAAAATAAAACTCTTAAAAACTCCAGGCTTTTTATAAAACCTTTCCTTATAGGAGTCCTTTTAATTTTTCTTCTACTTTAACTGATGACCAGTTACATAAAGTCTTAAGGGAGTCAGCTCATCAGCCCAAGTGCCCATCAGTAGATGAGTGCACACAAAAGCTTTGGCACATTTACACAATGGAGTACTACTCAGCCATAAAAAAGAAGGGAATCTTACCTTTTGTGACAGCATGGAAGCATCTGGAGAGCATAATGCTAACTGAAATAAGCCAGTCAGGGAAAGACAAGTACAATATGATTTCACTCATAGTTGAAATCTAATGAACAAAATAAACTAACAAACAAAATAGAAGCAAACTCACAGATACAGATAACAGACTGACAGCTGTCAGAGGAAGGACCATTGGGGGCTGGGTTGAAAAAGGTGAAGGGATTAAGCAAAAAACTCATAAGCACAGACAACAGTAGGGTGATTAGCAGAGGGAAAGGGGTGTAGGGGAAGAAAGAAGAGGGTAAAGGAGGGATAAGGGGTGATGAAAGGAGACTTGATTTGGGGTAGTGAACACACAATACAATATACAGCTGGTGTATTATAGAATTGTATGTAATTTTATTAACCAATGTCATCCCAATTAGTTCAATAAAAAATTAAAAAAAGAGAGTCAGCTTATGACAGTCTGGTCAGTGCTGGTGAATAAATAAAACAAATAGCAGATTTACAAAGAAAAAAGTCAGTAAGATATTTAATGTCAAATATCTTAGTTATCTTTTTATTTTCTCATTATGCTCATATGCTTGTTTAGCAAAAAACAATATAGAATTTTTAAGAATGCCATAAGAACTGTGAAATTAAAATATTATTGCTGTAAGTCTTTTTGGCTCACTGATCCAGAAAAATATGTACCACATTTATGAATTAAAAGGTTATAATCAATATCTGCTACTTGGTATTTTCTTCCTAAGATTTTCCTTTTGTTGGTTCATTTTTAACAAATAGATTTAGCTAGCAAATTCACCTTTAATCATCACAGCTGTGAATATGTTAAGAGGCATTCCAGAACACAGAAGGAGGAAGGGAAGAGGGAAATTCCAAAAGGATGACTTGCTTATTAGGGAGACGATAAAAATCTAAACTAAATGTTGCCTTTACTTCCCTCAAATATTCACAAAATATTCATGAAGTATTTTAAACACAGGTGAAGCCACTGGGGAAAATTTTCCAAAATCCTGCTACCCACTTATTAATATCCAATACCCAACATGGAAAGTTAGCAAATAGAGAAAGCACGTGTTGAAATTACTCTAAATGGTTTTTAACATTTGTGGCATTTTTACGTTTTGCAGTATATGACTCAAAATTTGCTATAAAATATATCACATTTCTTTTTAAAAAAATATATTTTATTGACTTTTTACAGAGAGGAAGGGAGAAGGGATAGAGAGTTAGAAACATCGATGAGAGAGAAACATCAATCAGCTGCCTCCTGCATACCCCCTACCGGTGATGTGCCCGCAACCAAGGTACATGCCCTTGACCAGAATCGAACCTGGGACCCTTCAGTCCGCAAGCCGACACTCTATCCACAGAGCCAAACCGGTCAGGGCAATATATCGCATTTCTTACGATAATAAAGAAAAAAGTTCTCTTTTGTTTCAATTCTCCATTCATATCTATACAAAGCCACAATTTTCTTTTTTTTTTTTTTTTTTTTTTTTTTTTTTTTTAAATATATTTTATTGATTTTTTTTTTACAGAGAGGAAGGGAGAGAGATAGAGAGTTAGAAACATCGATGAGAGAGAAACATCGATCAGCTGCCTCCTGCACATCTCCTACTGGGGATGTGCCCGCAACCCAGGTACATGCCCTTGACCGGAATCGAACCTGGGACCTTTCAGTCCGCAGGCCGACGCTCCATCCACTGAGCCAAACCGGTTTTGGCACAAAGCCACAATTTTCTTCGTGATTTACCAAAATAGAGTCCTCAGAAATATTATAGAAGTATGTTTGGGGGAATTTGCATCTAAAATATCATCAATATGACATAAATTTTTAAAAATCCATGTTTTCTTTACAATAAAAGCAGCTACCACTTAAAAATTATGTTCAGGATCCTGATATTAATTTATACAGGTATTGTTTACATTCCACATATTTCCAAAAAGAATTAGTGTTAATTTGACTAAATAGAATTATAGAAATTTTCAAGAATTCAAAGTCTAATCATTGATAAATGAAAACAAGTAACACTGACTTAGAACAGATGTCTTCATAGGAGAGCACTGTGTGAACACTATAAAAAGAAAGCAGAAAATCTTTTAAGAGCCAGTTTGTAATAACTCAAGAGAATTTTGACAAAAAAAGCTAACTTTTCTTTTTCCCCCTTTCGGATTGTTAGGTATTATTAAGTAAGTCAAATACTATAAACAGACATACCTGAATTTTAGAAAGTGATTCGAAAGAGAATCTAACTGTATCCTTTTAGATATGAGGCAGATAGGTATATGGGCTTTGGTAGAATTCACAGATGATAAAACAAATCTTTGCCAAAAGTGATGAATGACAGATTATTCATTATTATCATCATGAGATTATGGAGACAAACTGAAGTTTATAAATGTCAGAAAGTTCCTTTAAAAAACGTTATTACAATCCCAGGTCATACTCCAAAGATAATATTTGCATCAAGTATGTATCCCATTATACTCTCTGATGTGGGAACATTATTGGAACCCTGGGTTTGGTTGTGGCATAACCCCCACGTTACAAGGGACTTGGCAAACAAGAGTATGTCCAGGGAAAGAATCAAAAGTGCTGAAATCTTTGCAAACAACACAATATAAGAACTGGCTGAAGGAACAGATTGTGTTTGGGCTGAACAAGTCTCAAATAGGACATCCTAACTGTTTCCAATAAGTGGAGATAGTTAAAAGGAAGGACTGGACTCAGGCTACTGCCCAAGGAATAGAACTGAAACCAATGGTTACAAGTGGTTGTGAGGAATATATGAAAATGTCTAACAAACAGGAATAAACTCCTGAAAGAAACAGGAAAGCACCTGAATACCAGGGATATGCAGTAGAAGGGAAACTGACTAGTGCTCAACTCCTGACCTTTTCACTCTTTTAGCTTTGGGAGCTTAGTTCTATTACGAAGCTTCTCTGACTTTGTTTCCTTTTTTATAAAATGGATATCCTGACCTTCAATGAAAGTAAGAATACTGAGATAAGGGAGAGGAAAGGCTGAACCTGATGGCCACCATGGTTCCTTCGATTTCTAAGGCTCTACATATATTGTATCTCATGACGAGAAATTATTGATAAAAATTTCATTTATTCAATATATATGTATTGTGTATCTACTATGTGTAGGCACTTTGCTAGGGATACAAAAGTGAAAAAAATGCAAAATAATTTTTGCCCACATAGACCTTATATTTTGTGAAGAAGATGAACCATAAGCAAAACAAGTATAATACATAGTATATTAGAAGATGACAACTACTATATAGAATAACAAAGAAAACAAATTTGAAGTTTTAAATAAGATTCTGGGAAACTTCAAAGATATATTAATTTCATCAGTAATTAAAAAATTAGTTTTATTATGAAATCCATTGGAAAATGTGGTGCCCTCAATCAAATCTTGTGATCCAAGTAATGTTCCAAATACTGTAACCTCATCAGAGAGTGTTATGGTCTAAATTATGTCCCCCCAAATTTATATGCTGACATCCTAACCTCCAGTTCTTCAGAATCTGACTGTAGTTGGAGACAAGGTTTTAAAGAGGCAATTAAGTTAATTGAGATCATTGGGATAGGTCTTAATCCAATATGACTAGTGTTATTAAAAGAAGAGGAGATCAGGACATAGACATGGACAGAGGGATGACGATGTGAAGACACAGGGAGAAGATGACCATCTGCAAGCCGAGAGGCCTCAGGAGAAACCAAATCTGCTAGCACTCGGATCTATCTGCCTTCAGAATTGTGAGACAATAAAATTCTGCTATTTAAGCCACCCAGTCTGTGGTGCTTTCTTATGGAAGCCCCAGCAAACAAATACAGAGAATACTGTAGCATGTAAACCCAGTCTAAATATTAAGTTTAGGATAGCTCAAGACTGCATAGTCATTTTGAAAATAACTCAGAATCTTTTATAAACTTTACGTTTAGAATTTACATGTAGATTTCAGTTTTCCTGTATTTATTCTCTCAACATTATATTGCATTGAAAATCTTAAAACCTATTGGTTTCCTCCCAATATACTCTATTGAAGAGATAGTTTAACAAAAATATCACAAGGACTTCATAACCAATAATAGCATGCTTATATTATATGTGAACTTTCAGGATATGCAAAATATTTATTTTTCTATTAAGATAGGTATAAACTTATTGAAGTTTAAGATGGCAACTCATATCTTATAGAATACTCATGTGCACAAAAAGGTTTTAATACCAGAATTTATTTTCTCCCACCTCATTTGAATCTTCTTAATTGCAGCCTTGCTGTATACTTATAATCAAGCTGGCCCCCTACTGATATGAGCACTCTGCATAGCTATGAGGGACACAGTGGGTGTACACTTGAAATATTCTTTAAAGTTATTGTTTCCTATTCCTTTCTACTTCTATTAGATTTTTCTATCAATGAGATAAATTAGTTTTAGAGATTAAAACAATAAGTGAATATACTTACAGGTCCTGTTAATTTAGATGCTATTTCAAATTCTCCACCCTCCTCCATTAGTGCTTCTTCAGTCCCAGGTAAAGAATCTATTTTTACCAAAAAAACGAATAAGTTACAGTCACATATTGCTTAAATTTGATATACAAGCCTATTACAAGAAGGATATTAAAGTGACTGAACTGGTTGCTGAAAAAATTACAGTGTTTATGAGTTAAAGTAGAGTGTAAAATATTTATTCAGCTTAAAGACAACCTATGACAAATGTTATGAATTTTGAAATGGAATGTGCAAGAGCTGCTGTTATCTTGGATAGGGTAAACTTTCTTTTAGCATTTCATTCAGCTAATTGTTGGGACTTTAATGTCAGCTAATTGTTGGGACTTTAATGTTCTTTTTCTGGTTTGCAATTTTATATTTATTTGTTTTACCTATCAACTGTATGTAATTACCATTTTGTGTTCTTTCTCTTAAATGGGATAGGAAATTCTGAAAAGTTTGGAGAAGAGTGCATATTATTAAATGATGGAAAGTTTTCCATTTTAATGTATTAAGCAGGAAGTTGTGATTTCTTATCTTGAATAGATTGAGGAGTGAATGAGTAGTGACTTTCAAATATGTGAATAAAATTATGGCAACCCTTCCCATATGTCTGCTGAGTTAAATTAATTATGATGACAAGGATTTATACGGGTTATAAAAAATTCTGCAATAAGGACAGATATGTAGAGAATCTAGAAATAGTCCATACTTTAATACCTTCTATTCAAATTAAAAAAAAATCAGTAAAGAGGAAGACATTTTAAACTATTGGAGACTTCTAAAATTTATTTCTTATAATTATTAATATTTGAGAGTCATATGAATCCCTAAAAATTTTCCCTCAGATTCATGTAAATATGGAGACAGATTTTTCTGTTAATAAAATGTGTGCTCTGGGAAGAAAATGAGAGCATTAAATCTATCAAGCCCTTAATGGCCACTCAAGGAGACTATGGAAAGCTTAGCATAAAGCCGTAATTATACCGTAGCTTCTGAATCAGAATTTACATTCAATAACCGCTATATTCTCAAGTTGTAAGCAAATTTAAAATTTTTACCTACCACCCTTCCAAACAGACATTAAAAAGAAGGAAATTTTTGTTGACAAAATCAATACAGATGATGAAAATTACACCAAGTTCAAAAATATTAATGCACTAATAAAGAATACTTGAATCCCTATTTACTAAAACCCAATTGGTAAGAGTGACAATGTATAGACTTTTTACATTAGCATGTGTAAATTAGCATAAGTTTAAGTCCTCTAAGACTGAATTATAATCTACTGAACTGTGAGTAAATACTAGTGTAATTTTATTACTTACTCTATTTTTCCTGTTTTATTTGTGTTGAAACTCTTGAGTAGAATATTAACTTAATAAATAATATTAAAATGTTCTATTCTGCATTACTAAACAAATTATTTCATATGTAGGAGAAAACCAACCCTCTAGTGGATTTGCTGATTTTTTTAAGGTTAGAAATATTATACTATAACTAAGTTTTCAAGTTCTCAGTCAGTAATTCGTGGTTTTAAAGAGGTATTGTCATTCTGATTGATTTTTTAATGTATGTATGTATTAATCAATTCATTCAACTATTTCTGTGTGTTTGTATATTCATTTATTCAACAAATACTATTGTCACTAGAGACAT